TTGGCTTTTTTTTTTGAGACAGAGTCTTACTCTGTTGCCCAGGCTGGAGTGCAGTGTTGTGATCTCGGCTCACTGCAATCTCCTCCTCCTGGGTTCAAGCAGTTCTCCTGTTTTCACCTCCCGACTAGCTGGGATTACAGGTGCCCGCCACCACGCCCAGCTAATTTTTGTATTTTTATTAGAGACGATGTTTCACCCTGTTGGCCAGACTGGTCTCGAACTCCTGATCTCAGGTGATCCAACCACCTCAGCCTCCCAAAATGCTGGGATTACAGGCGTGAGCCACCACGCCCAGCCAATTTGACCTTTTTATCTGATCTGCTTCATACTTCATGGCTAAGTGAGATCAGTAAAGAGATATCATTCCTGATTTATAAATTTTGTTGATTCAATTAAGAGGCTTTTAATAGGGAGAAGTTCTTTCCTTTGATTACACAGCTACCATCCCTTTTACCTAGTGAGATGTGTTCTAGTTCACATAGGTGTATCTTATTCAAATAGAATTGACTTTCTGGTAAGTAACTTAAAAGCCACACCTGATATAAAAACAAATGAGACTTGAGGAACACTAAATATCTTCACAGATTCAACAGATGTTCAACAGATGTTTATTGAGCTCTCCTTTGCAGAAAGAGGGCCGTGGTGCCTCCTTTTACATTCTTGATATGTTGATTTAATGCTTAAAGTTCACAAATGTGTTTTTATGTTTTGGTGGCTCAAGATTTGTGTTGATTATAACTCAAAGGGCAGTTATGGAGAGAGTAAGTCTATCCTATCTGAAAAATTAAAAACATCAAAACCTTTGTTTCAAGTGATGATCCCATTATTTCATTTTAGTGTTTTTCCTTCTTCTGACATACTATACTATTGAAAGACTTATATATGTCACCTGACCTCTATTTTCATATCACTTCTTTCTTGCTTGCTTCCGTGCTTTCTTGCTTTTTTTTTTTTTTTAATGGAGTCTTACTCTGTCACCAGGCTGGAGTGCAGTGGAATGATCTTGGCTCACTGCAACCTCCGTCTCCTGGGTTTAAGCCATTCTCCTGCCCCAGCCTCTGGAGTAGCTGGGCCTACAGGCATGCACCACCATGCCCAGCTAATTTTTGTATTTTGTATTATTATTCTATTTTTTCTAGTAGAGATGGGGTTGGCCAGGATTTCTCAATCTCTTGACCTTCTTATCCACCCGCCTTGGCCTCCCAAAGTGCTGGTAATACAGGTGTGAGGCACTGTGCCTGGCCATCACTCATTAACTCTGTGCAATCTGGCTTCTGTTCTCAGCAGTTCACTGCACAATGCTGTATTGAAGTTACACAGGACTTCCTCACTGCCCTAATCAGTGATAGTTTCTCAGTCCTCATTCTTCATGGCTTCTCTCTGTTGTTTGGCATAGATTACACTCATCTTAAACATTCTCTTTCTCTGACATTCGAACAGCTATGTTTTCTCTTTGTACTACACTTTTGGTTGTTGTCTTATTTACTCACAATATTCCAACTATGTATAATTTTCAAAATTCAGGAATAAATAGTATAGCTTAGCAGTTAAAGAGGGAGAAACCTGGAGCCAGACTACCCTCTACCACTTCTTAGCTTTGTAAGTATGGACAAAGTCCTGAGGTTAAAGAAGTTCCAGTGTTTCAGAGTGCACTCCAGAGAGGTACAACCCACTTTATGTTTGTTTCATCATCTGTAAACTTGATTTATAAAAGATACCTACCTCTTTGGAATGTGGAGAGAATTACATGATTTAATGCATTAAAGCCCAGCACAGTGCCTGATATAAAGGAAGTGTTCCACTGGGATTCATTCATGTGTCTTTAGTTTTTATCTTATGGAGAATGCTCAAATATAAATCTTTAGTACTGACTTATTTTCTAAGCTCCATTCCCATGTTATCATCTACCTTAAAAAATTTTAGGCTTAAACTCACTAACCATATGTTTTTGAACATTTGCTGTGTAAGAACAGTGTTTATGTGATAGAATAATTTTTTTTTTTTTTTGCTATTGGTTTTCTGTTACTGTCATAAATTACCATAAAGATGGCAGCCTATCATAACTAAATTATTAAAATTAGGTCAGAAGTCTGACACAGTTCCTGGGTTGAAGTCAAGGTGCTGGCAAGGCTGTATTCCTTACTGGAGGCTTGGGAGAGGAAGCTGCTTCCAAGCTCATTCAGGTTGTCGGCTGAATTCTGGTCTTTTCATAGAGTTGTAGGACTGAACGCTGTGTTCCTCTACTGGCTGTCAGCCAAGGACTGTTCTATACTCCTAGAAGTTGCCTAGGTTCCTTCTTAGGCTTGCTGTGAGATCCTAGAACTCTCTCTCCGGTTTTTGCATGTGGGCCTTTGCACCTGAGAGCCAGCAATCATGCATTCCTTTCACGTTTTGAGTATGATTTCCCCTTCATCCATATCATTTCTGTGCTTTGTATTTCTTCTAGTAAAAGGTAGTTCTCTGTTTTTAAAATGAATTCATGTGATATTTTGGAACCCACCCAGATAATCCAGTGTAATCGCTCTGTTTTAGGGTCTGTACCTTAATTACATCTGCAAAGGCCTTTTTGCCAGTAACATAACACATTCATAAATTCTGAGAATTCTTAGGGTATGAGCATCTTTGGCTCCCATTATCCTGCCTTGCTACATGCCCATAAAGAGCTTGAAGTCTTGTTGGGAGTTAGTCCCCCAAATTGAAGGGGTAGAGATGCTATAATAAAAGTTGGTGATGTGGAAAACAGCAGAAGAAAGGAAGAAAGTAGTCAGTGTTACTGAGAGAGAGAGTGACATTTGTGCTGAGTATGGAAAGATGTATACTTGTTTGATAAGTGGCTGGGGGAACGTTTCAGGGAAAAAGAATCAATGATAGTGATAGCGATAACAGTGACTGCCTGTCCTTCTATAAGATTATCTTACTGCAGTCCTCACAAGTGTTAAATACTGTTATTGACCTTTATAGCTTCTACATAATAAGAGTGTCTTATGTCTATGAGAAGATAGGTTTGTAATGTCTTCTAAAGTAGAATAGGAGTGGTAAAATTATTTCATTGGGCTAGGCATAGTGGCCTATCCTTGTAATCCCAGCACTTTGAGAGGCCAAGGCAGCAGGGTCGCTTGAGCCTAGGATTTCAAGACCAGCCTAGACAATATAGTGAGACCCCTGTCTATTTTGGGGGGAAAAATGGTGGCACATGCCTATAGTACCAGCTACTTGGGAGGCTGAAGTGGTTGGGTTGTTTGAACGTGGGAGGTTGAGGCTACAGTGAGCTAAAATCACAACACAGCATTCTAGCTTGGGCACCAGAGTGAGACCCAGTCAAAATGGAATAAAATAAAAATCATTGGCTTGCTGAGAGGATTAACATTGATTACACATGGGTAAAGTATATCACATAGGAAATGCTTAAAACATGCCAGTTAGAGGGTGGATAAGGGAAGTGCTTAGGATATAGAATTGATTTGGTCACTCGTTCTGAAAGTGGGAGACAGGAGAGAGTTCAGAGTAACTTAGGCCACTGTTTGGTTTTGGAGCATGCATGGAAGATGGTCTTATTCAGTACTATAGGAGGAGGAGCAGGTCGTTTGTTTGCTTGATGAAGGCAGGGCTTTGGGAAGAGGATATGAGGTACATGTGAGAATATTCTATTGAAATTAAATGGAAATTTAAATAGTGTAGGTCAAACACTCAGAAGAGAAGCCAAAGGTGAAGTTGTCACTATTTTTTTCAATTTTATTATCTAAAATGGAATTTTCCGTCTTCTCAAACCGGTTTCCCATCCCAACTTTCCTGTTTCTTCTTACCTTTTAAAATTTCTTTTATTTTTTCAAGCTTAACATCTTTTTCTCATCCTTAATTTCTGTCTTTCCTTACCCAGTGTAGGGCTGGTAACTGTTTGACAGTCAGCTCTCTGGTAGGGGGAAGAAGCCTCATTTACAGTGTTTGCTGATTTCTGTAGTACAAGTCTTCCTCCCATGGCCAATTTCAGTGTGTGGCTGCCTTTGTTCTACAATGATAGAGTTGAAAAGCTGCAATAGAGACTGCATAGGCCTGCAGAGCCTAAAATATTTACAGTTTGGCCCTTTAAAGAAAAAGTTTGCCAATCTTTGCTATAGTATTTCCAAAATAATAAAACTTTAATAGGGTAGGATAATTTCATACTTACTGTTAACTTATTTTATCCATCAAGATGAGGGGTAGGAATGAGTTGTTTAAGGGGGCCGTATGTGAGAGGTCATGAGGTCATTTTATGGGCTTAAGCTTTTTCTCTCAATGAGATAAGAAGAGTGCCATGTTCTGGCTTGTGTTTAAAAAAGAAGACCCTGGCTGCTGTTTAAAGGATAGATCACAGAGCAGGCAGCAAAGATGGAAGCAGGGAGATCAGTTGGGACACCATAGTTACGAGTTAGGTAAGAGTTGATCTTTTCTTGAATCAGAGTAATAACTGTGGAAGTGGTAAGGTGAGTTCAGATTCTGGATACGGTTTGAAAACAGAGCTGACAGGATTTACTGATGGTGGAAAGGGGTGTTAAGGGTCCTTGAGTCCCGTGTAAGTGGTACCAAAAGGGTGCCTTAGGCTAGAGCCTGAGTTACTGTGATCACATTATAGCAAGTTGCTACATGGGAGATTTTAGGAAGAAAATTGAGACTTGAATAATTTTTCTTGAATCACTTCCTTTAGGCCATATATGTTCCAAGAGGAAGAATTATTTGTTTAAAATAATATTTCCTTTACTTGTAAGAAATAACACTTTAAAATATTTTAGGAAACAGTAATGTTTTTTAAATAGGCATTTTTAGAAAAGGAAACCATAATAAAACCTAATTTGGATAAGATTATTTTGGTCCTGTAATTTGCTGACTTAAAAAAATTTATTCAGAAATGAACAATTTGGGGGAGGGGCTAAATTTCAGCTCCCCCCTTTTAAAGTTTAGTTTAAAGCTAAGAGTTAATGTTTCACTGTATTGTTAAGAAGTTATTACTCATGTCTTTTATCTAGGTTTTACTTGTAATGGACACAAGGACAGAACAGACCTTCATTTTAAAAGTAAGTAAAATTTGTGACCAGGCGTGGTGGCTTACGCCTATAATTCTAGTACTTTGGGAGGCTTAGGTGGGTGGATCACCTGAAGTCAGGAGTTCAAGACCAGCCTGGCCAACATGGTGAAACCCTGTCTCTACTAAAAATACAAAAATTAGCTGGATGTCGTAGTGGACACTTAAAATCCCAGCTACTCGGGGGGCTTACGCAGGAGGATCCCTTGAACCTGGGAGGTGGAGATTGCAGTGAGCCGAGATCGCACCATTGCACTCCAGCCTAGGCAACAAAGAGCCAAACCCTGTCTCAAAGAAGTAAGTAAAATTTGTATGCTTGATGAATTTAAAATTTTAATTTCAAATTATGCTTCTGAAAGAAAAGTTAATATTTTAGTTAATATTTAGTTAATATTAACTAAGTAGTTATATTTTTCCTCCCTGGGTTATAAATGTTCTTTTATGTTTGTGGTGATCTTTATTTACCTTTCTTTGTATTCTTTCATCACAGTTGATAGCATGCATTTAAAAAGATTTTTGATACAGAGTATGGAGGAAATAATTTGGACCAAATGAAGAACAATTTCATGTTGTTTGAATGTGTAGTGTGTAGTTTAAATACATCAGGACCATTTTGTATAATTGCAAAGACTACACATAATCTCACCTTCGATTATCACTACAGTTCTTAAGAGCTAAAATTTGGCCTTAAGGTCTTGTTACAGGTATTTTGGGAAAGTGTTATCTACATTCCTAGTCCTCTTTTTGATCTAAATTCAATTTTGGTTCTATACATAACACAATTTGTAACCAAATGAATAAGAGAAACCCTCAATTTTGTACTTTTGAAATTGTATTTGGAATGGACTGTGATAGTACATATTCTGAAAATATCCTAATTTAAGCATTTCCAAAGCATTCAGAAGGTGAATTGATTAATTTTATATTTCTTTTCCTGATGCTTTTTTATTTTGCTGATAAGGCATGGCAGTAGGTCACATTGACACATACTGAAACACATTTTGTTTTTGTAAATATACTTTATCATTGATATTTCCCCAGTTTTTACAAACAGAGTATGACACCAGTAAACAGACAAACTTTGTTCCTTGTCAGAAGACTTAATATTGTTTGTACTTTTTGGGGATAGGATTTTAAATTTGCCTGGTTAATCTAAGCATACCTTTTGTATCTCAGGAGTTTGTATTGATCTTACAATGTCTACTGCTTTAAAGATACAGATAAGTAAAATAAAACTTAAGAAAAGGTCACAGAGAAATAACTGTGTGTCATCCTGATGACTTAGTTTGAGAGCATCTCTAATAAAAACACTGACCCACGTAATTGATTTTAATGGCAGCTTTGTGGCATCTTCCTCCTCTGGATTCACGCCAGATGCCATCAGCAGAGCCTCCAGGGACTGGGGGGCATAGAGCAGCAGATGAGTGGTTTCTCTGAAGCCCAGAGTAACTCGGATAGATTAGTTTGGTTGATAAACACAGAGCACAGCAGGCTCCAAAGGCAACTGAGGATACAACTGACCTTTTTGTTCTCTGTCAGGGTCTAAGGAAAAGCAGTGAATACAGCAGGAACAGAAAGACCATCATCCCCCGCTGTGTGCCCAACATGGTGTGTCTGCATAAGTACATCATCTCTGAGGAGTCGGTATTTCTTGTGCTGCAGTATGCGGAAGGTTGGTTTGTAGTTTGGATTGTTTATGCAGTGAAGAATATCACCTACTTAGCTTTCCAGTGTCTCTCTGTCATTTCATGAGCAGTTAGAATATATGAAACACTTGGAAGAAACCATTTCCTATTCCTCTGCTCTATCTCCCTACTTTGTGTTGTGAGGGAAAATGAAAACCCAGGTGAACAGCAGATTTCATTTGAACTATGGTACCATTTGTAGGTTTACTTCACTGCTTACTTTTTCATAGAATTTACCTAATATAATGAGAACTTTAATGTGAATGTGTGTTAAGAGAACTAGATTTTATTTTAGGGATATTTTGTTCGCTTGTTCTCTGCTGAAAAGATACATTATGTTAGATGACTAAAATGAAAAGCATCCCCTGAAGAATTAATTAATTACCTCCTTCTTTTAGAAGGCAAGGGTGTTTCTTTAACATTTGACATTACCTAGTTATTCTGATCTGAGTTTTTATGAATATAGCCATTGGCATCACATATGGGTACAAAGCCTTTCTCTGCCTTCAAACTATTTATAAAATTTCAACTCTTTGTACAGGGAGCAGGTGGCAAAAAATATTATGTTTTGATTTGTGTTTGCCCTTTAATACCTAAATTTAAATAAATAGTCTTTTATTTAGGATGACTGAAAACAGCCTGTAAATATGAATTCACTTAATATATATTGCCATTTGGCTTTTAAGAGGTGTTCATAAAATAGTAAAAAAAAATTAATTGTTTTCTATATTTCATGAAGGCATTATGATTTTTATATAACTAATGCACTTTACTGATAGGCATAACATTTGTATTTAATACAGTTTTTTAGGAAAAGGAGTCATTGCTTTCTGGAATGAGGGCTTATATGATAAATGCAGGATTTTTGATGGGGGCAATAAACTATTAATATTGTTTATTGTGAAGTACAGCACAAGATAACTACAGATGGAGGGAAGACCTCCATATGCAGTATTTAATAGGAAATTCAGAAGGGGCTCTGTGGTCTCTCAGGTATTAAGAGAGTTAATTGTGTGTGTGAATTGGATAACTAATTCACCTTTGTTCAGACATTATAGACAGCTTTTATCTGAGGATACCAGTGCATTACAGACATTATTGAATTAGAGGTCATGTCATCTGATAGCGAAATACAGCCACCTCTGGTGTGGAACAAAATAACTTGCGTAGTAATAATCCATAATAATTTAGAACAAGGTCAGTAGGATGAATGTAATTATAGTCAATATTCTATTACCCCATGTGGATTATTCATGTTGGAGATTATCTATGGCAAAATTTTCAATCTTAGCTTACCTCTGTTATTTGTAGCTTTATCTTCCTCTTCTTCCTCTTCCTTCTCCAAATCATTTTTCAGTTTTTTTCTACTATCTTCTCACCTTCCCTTATACCTCTTGAAGCTGATGTTTCAATTGATTGTACTTCAATAGTGTAGAAAATTTTTATAATCTCTTGAAGTCATAGACTTAGTACTTTTAAACTCTTTCAGATTCTTCCTTTGCTATTGACCATACCTGACTTTGAATGGTCACATGACCATAAAAATTTGTCTCTTTTGATCATTCATTTTAGTTTAATTTTAAGACAGTTTTATAATATAAAAATAGTAAATTATAGTGCAAATAAGAACTCTGGATTAATTAAATATTCAGCAAATTTCTTGGGCCTGCACTATACTATAGGCTCCTTTTTACATGAACAAAACAAGGAAAGAGCCTCCCCTTTTAAAATTCAGATTCTTTATTTTTTTGTAGGGGTGGTGGTCAGGGTCTTCCTCTGTCTCCTAGGTTGGAGGGCTGTGGTACAATTATAGCTCACTGTAACTTTGAACTCTTGGACTCAAGTGATATCCCGCCTCAGCTGGGACTACATGTGTGCACCACTACATCTGGCTAAGTTTTAAATTTTTTATAGAGATTGGTTCTCTGTATGTTGCCCAGGTTGGTCTTAAACTCCTGGCCTCTAGTGGTCCTCCCACCTCAGCCTCCCACAATGTTGGGATTGCAGCTCTAAGCCACCATGCCAGGCCTGAAACGTTAATTCTTGTTGTGAAAAGTCAAACAGAAAAACAGAAAACAAGAGAACATTGGATAATAAAAGGAACTATACAGATCTTTAATACAGGGAGATCTAATGAATAACAACTGGGGACTGTGTTGAATTGGGTAGCCAAGGGAACCCTCTCTGAGAAGGTGGCATTTAGGAGGAGTTCTGAATGGCAAAAGAACCATTTGAATGTAAGATACAGGTACAGGGATGAGTGTAAAAACAAACTTCGAATGTTTCATAACCAAGAAAGGCATCATTTGGTTGGAATGAAGCAGAATGAGGGCAACGTGAGACACATGTTGGTACATGAGGCTATTGGAGAAGTAGGCAGGAGCCTTGTACAGCAGAGCAAGGACTTTGGCTTTTATTCAAGTGCATTGGGAAACCATTAGACATCTTAAGGAGTGACAGAATCTGATTTACATTTTAAAAAGGTCACTGACTCTTGTATGGGGAATGGGTTGTAGAAAGGCGAGAATAGACGCAGTTAAAAGGTGACTACGGGAAGCTAGTTAAAAGGTGCTGCTGGCTTGGCCTTCCAGGGCACCAGTGGAGATGTTTGAGGGTAAAGTCAATGGGACCTGTGATGGATTTGAGATTAGGAAGAGGAAAATCTACAGCAGTTTCTCAGATTTGGCTTGAGCAATGGAGTCAACTGGGTGATAAACAGTGTGTTGTCATTTATATATCAGTGGTACTTTCTGTGGCCCCTCCATAAATTAGGAAGTTGTCCTGTGTCATAGAAAAGTAACTTTTGTATGTGTGAATAGTTATTACTGAGAAAGCAAACCTTGAACAGTTGTTTTCTCCATAACATGAATGCTTTGAGTATGATTTGTGGCTTTAGTTTTCCACTGCTTACAGAACTATTCATGATTTATGTGCGTCTCTTTCCATTTGTAATTCATTTCATTAGAAATTTATTCAGTGCTTGCTGAGACACAGGCATAGTTCTAATTTAGCAACGAACAAAACAGAAGACTTTACCCACATGGAACTTACAATACATTACATTATAGAAGCAGAACAGACAATAAGCAAATAAGTAAATATATGACAGATGGAGATAAATATGCCATGAAGAAAAAGGAAAGGGAAGGGAATGCCAAAGGGGAGAGAGGGGTGGTTTGCTATTTTATATAGGGTGGCCACCTTATTGAGAAGGGACATTTGACCAGAGACCTTCTGGAAGCAAGAGAGGGAGCATTGTGGATATGTGAGAAAAAGATGTCTTGGCAAGAGAAAACAAATAGGTCCACAGGCCTAGAGGCAGGGGTGTGCTTGGTGTACAAGAAACAGCAGGATCAGTGTGGCTGGAGCCAAACAGAAAGAGCAATAGGAAGATTGCTTAGAGAAGTGAGGAGGCAGGCAGGCAGATCATGTATAGCATTGTAGGCCATGTTAAGAACTGGACTTTTATTTTGAATGAGATAAGACGTTATTGGGGCATGCTGAGCAAAGGAGTGATGCGATAGGGATCACTGGCCACTTCATGGAAAACAGAATGTAGGAGAGCAGAAGGAAAAGCAGGGAGACCAGTTTGGAAGTTGTTGTAGCACCCCAGTTGAAAATGCTGATGGCTTGGACAAGGCATGAGTGGTATAGGTCAGGGGTCCCCAGACCACAGAGAGGTAACAGGAGTTGAGTGGCGGACAAGTGAACATTACTGCCTGAGCTCCACCTCCTGTCAGATCAGGGTGGCGTTAGATTCTCATAGGAGCGTCAACCCTATTGTGAATTGCACATGCGAGGGATCTAGGTCACACGTTCCTTACAAGAATCTAATGCCTGATGATCTGAGGTGGAATAGTTTCACCCTAAAACCATTTCTACCCCATCCCTACCCCAACCCTGTCCATGGAAAAATTGCCTTCCATAAAACTGGTCCCTGGTGCCAACAAAGTTGGGGACTGCTGGCATAGGTGGCGAAGAATGGTTATTAGAATCTGAATATATTTTGAAGGTAGAACGGGCATGATTCTGTCTTGCATGATTTCAAAGTTTTTGGCTCAAATAATTGAAATAATGGAGTTTCTATTTACTAAGGTGTGGGAGAAGTAAATTTAGGAGGAAAATCAGGGATTCCGTTTTAAACATGTGAATTTGAGATGCTTATTAAATATTCAGGTGATGGTGAGTAGACAGTTGGGATATATCAGGCAGGATTTTAGGAGAGAGGTTTAAAATGTTTACTATTCCTTTTAATTAATCCCTTTCTTAAACTATTTGAGAAAGAAAGGTGGGGAAACAAAATGTATTCAGTCAAGGCCATGAGTATTTAAGTTTCTAAGATGAGGGACTATGTATTCATCTTATATATGATGAATTAACAGAATACTTGGTATTTAGAAGATGCTTAGTGTATAATTATTTAATACTGGGTCAATCAGAGAAAAGATGAAAGACCAACTTAAAAGACAGAAGTTGCAAAAGCCTCTGACTGTGGATATACAAACTACAAAGGAGGTGGAAAAGAATTTCTAAGTTACTTAAGGCCCCAAGGAATGAAATTATCCTCCTTTTATTAATTAGTTTTTAAAAATTGTAAAACTAATTTATAAAATAAATTCAAACAAAATAAAAATGTATCAAGTCAAAATAAAAATTATCCCTCCCTTTTCACTTTATTGCCCAGACCTAGTATCCCCAGAAACAGACACTCTTTTAACAGTTTATTATGTATCTTCCAGAAACTCTCTATGTTTATAAACATTCACCCCCTACCTGTCTGTTTTTTAAAAACTTAAATGGGTGTTATATGTTGCCTTGAGCTTGCATTTTTTCCCCATCTCGGCAGTGTACCTTGGATGCCTTTAGTCTATCCTTATCAGTATATTTAGGTCTATATTAAGAGAGGCAGTATGGTATAGTTATTAAAAATAAGGACTGTGGAGCAATGTTATGTGAATATAAATGCTGGCTCACCATTACTAGTGTGACTTTGAGCAAGTTATTTAGTCTTTCTGTGCCTCAGTTTCCTCATCTGTAAAACAGAGATAATATTAATCACCCACCTTATAGGGTTGATGTGAGGATTAAATAGTTGTACATGTAAAATGCTTAATAGTACCTGGTACGTGGTAAGCACTATGCATTTGCAAATAGCTATTACTGAGTTTAAATTGTTTCCAGTGCTCGACATATATATTTATACATACATGTTTTTGTTTGTTGTATTTTTTGAGAATTATATGTAGGACAGATTTTTTTTCAAGTTGAATTGCTTGGTCAAAAGATGATTTTGATTACTGAGATAGCAGTGTTTTTATCATACATAATAAATTTAAGTCCTAATTCTGACCAAGCAAATTAACAAACTTACTTTGCAATCTTATAGAAAACAAACAGATTTAAAATCTGAGGAGAGACAAAGAATTTTAATTAAACATTAATAATTGTTATTTTTATATCTTAAAATGGTTCAATATCTGTAATTTTATGTGCTTCAAAATGACTTAGAAAAGTAGCATTTACAGTCAGAGTATTAAAAGTTAGACAAATTTTAGGTACTTTATCTTTAGCAATACCAGGTTTTTTTGTTTTTAAGGTTAATATATGTCTTTGGAAGAACACATGACTCCAAAAATGACATTATTGGTACTTATAGATTATTTTCCTTGAAAGGTTTTCAAAAAATTTGTAAAGGTGTTATTTTTTTAAAGTTTTTTTTTAATAACTCAGTTTAATAAATATTTATTTAATACCTGTTTTACGTGCTGGATAGAATCCTCTGCCAGGAGCTATTAAGACTTTGTAGTCTGGTAAAGGGGATAATAACAGCATAAAAGTAATATTAATATGATGTTGTAAATGTCATAACAAGATGAAGGTGGTTGATAGAGGATTCAGAGACGATATGTATTGTGTCCAGTTAAGGAATACAAAGAAATTGGTAAAAGAGAACAGATTCTGAGAGACCTTCAAGAATAGGTAAGATTTTCACAAGCAGATACTGGGGAAACTAGTAGGAAAAAAACATTCTAAGATTAAGTATGGTATGAGGAAAAAGCCCAGCATGAATTCTGTGTTGAATAAGGAGAGAGGACCAAATCATGGGTGGATAGCTTTATTACTCAGGAGTTCAATCGCCTATGCGGAGTTGGTACATGATTCAGTAGATGGAGGGAATTTGACTTCTTGAATGCAGTGATGGCTTAAGATCTGTGCTAAAATAGAAGATTAATTAGGCAGCAATTAGTAGGATAGAGTGATACTGGAGGGACTTAAAGTAAGGTTCTAGTTGTAGCTATAGCATTATCCCCAAAAATGAAGACTTTAAGTACATTGAATTTTAGATTTTGGTAGCTTGCTCAGGTGGAATTGACCTAGGAATGAATAAAGCTTTTCTTATAACTTTCTTAGGTACTGTTTCTTGCTGATCAGTGGAACTTTACAGTTGTAGGTACTAAGCTTATATGGTACATCTCATCATCTGATTTAATATGCAGTGACTTTGATGTCCTGCACATTGTATAGGCAGTAGGCATACAAAGATGAAAAAGACTTGGCCCTTTCCTCAAAGTATTCATCATCTGGGAGAATTGAAAACCACTCAAGTCATTTTATTTGGATTGCATACCAGAATCTTAGTTTTAGGCATTATTGTTAGAGTGCTACAATATAAGTATTTGTGGTAAGAGGAATGTGAGTATTGTTGTCAACAGACTAAAGAATATAGACTTAACATAGCTCCTTTTAAGTTTCAGTTGAAATATGGGGAAATGTGAAACACTGAGTGTACTCTAAAGAGGACAGAAAATATTAGAAAAAAATGAGAGGAAAACGCTAAATGCCATAACATCCTGTACCACTAACTGTTATCAAAATGGAGAAGATGATACAAAAATTAGCCAGGTATGGTGGCACATGCCTGTGATTCCAGATACTTGGGTGGCTGAGGCAGGAGGATCAATTGAACCTAGGAGGTGGAGGCTGCAGTGAGCTGGGATCCCACCATTGCACTCCAGCCTGGGCTACAGAGTGACACACTGTCTCAAAAAAAAAAAAAAAAAAAAATTAAATAAATAAGTAAAATAGGGAAGATGGTTCACTAGATTGCTGCTACAAAGAGGTGTATGAGAATCCTAGGATTAAGGTTATGACAATTAGCCTTTGTTGAGCATTTATTCTATGCTAGGTACAATGTGAGGTGCTATATGAATTTATTGAATTTCTTAAAATGAAATGTGAAGTAGGAAGAGGTATTTTCAATGTTTCCATTGACTTTTTTACACATGCAATTGAGTGTCAATTGTTATTTTCCTTAAGGTTTAGGTGCCCTTGATATATAATGCTTAATGATTACACTAAAAATGTGCTGAAAAACTGCCTTCTTTATATGAATAGAGGGATTTATTTTTAACACATCTCTCTTAATTTTCAATTTTTTGCAACTACAATACTGTCTCCACAAAGTATACTTCTGCAGTTACTGCTTTTAAGATTTGTGGATCAAACTTAATGAATTATTCTTTCTTATAAAACTTTTTCTAGTCACTCCTATTATAGCAGAGTTTTGATACTCAGCTATAATTTTTTAATGTAAAAATTCTAATTGACAAAAGAGGTTGAGATGTTTTAATGGTTAAAACTGTGGTGAAAAAATAACTATATAACAAGTATTGCTGGTGAAATATTGGATTTTTTTTATTTCTCTGATTCATATAAAAGCGATTTTTGTGATTTTAGTTTCATAGATATATGTCAGAATACATGGTCAGAATTTCAGTAGCTTGGTTCATTAAGGGATGCCCAATTAATCTTCCTCAATAGCTTTACTTATGTAACATATTAACATGTATGGTGGGGCATAAAAGGAGAACTATACTATTAATATGTCATCAATAAAGGCATAATTATGTACCACATGCCAAATTCTTCCAATCCTGGACTGGACATTTTCAAAATAGAATAATATTGTTGATTTTTTCCCCTCATTGTAGTATACAATTTTAAACAGCACTTATTTATGTATTTCCACTTGACCAAGGGGCCATGCTTGAAAAAATTATATAAACAGAGTAGAACATAATCAGATGTGTCTAAAACTAATGATATTTAACTTTAGAGTAGAATTTTTTTTTTTTTTTGAGACGGAGTTTCACTCTTGTTATCCAGGCTGGAGTGCAATGGTGCGATCTCGGCTCACCGCAACCTCCGTCTCCTGGGTTCAAGCAATTCTCCTGCCTCAGCCTCCCAAGTAGCTGGGACTACAGGCGTGCACCACCATGCCCAGCTAATTTTTGTATTTTTAGTAGAGACGGGGTTTCACCATGTTGACCAGGATGGTCTCGATCTCTTGACCTCGTGATCCACCCGCCTCGGCCTCCCAAAGTGCTGGGATTACAGGCTTGAGCCACCGCGCCCGGCTAGAGTAGAATTTTAATTGTGAAATTTCATATTAGTATTTGTTATAACTAATTTCTCTTCAAAGGAAGAAATAGGGTGGCATTTTAAAAAATAATTGATTTCAGGAAATATGCTTGAAACCATACTCACCAAGTCAGAAATAACAAGCATTTTATTAAATATGCTTATCTTAAGACACACTTGATATTAATGGGTATTAGTGACTTGTTTTGATTGACTTTTAAAATGGTTTTTGTTTTTCTAATGGCTTAATAAATAACTATTAATTTGGAGCTCTTAATTCTTTTGTTTGTTTTGTTACACTTGTTCACAGGTGGCAAACTGTGGTCATATATCAGTAAATTTCTAAACAGAAGTCCTGAAGAAAGCTTTGACATCAAGGAAGTGAAAAAATCTACACTTGCAAAAGTTCACCTGCAACAGCCAGCTTCTAGTCCTCAGGACAGCAGTAGCTTTGAATCCAGAGGAAGTGATGGTGGAAGCATGCTTAAAGCTCTGCCTTTGAAGAGTAGTCTTACTCCGAGTTCTCAAGATGACAGCAACCAGGAAGATGATGGCCAAGATAGCTCTCCAAAATGGCCAGATTCTGGTTCAAGTTCAGAAGAAGAATGTACTACTAGTTATTTAACATTATGCAATGAATATGGGCAAGAAAAGATTGAACCAGGGTCTTTGAATGAGGAGCCCTTCATGAAGACCGAAGGGAATGGTGTTGATACTCAAGCTATTAAAAGCTTCCCAACATACCTTGCTGCTGACAGTGACAGCCCCAGCACACAGCTGAGAGCTGCCGAGCTGAAGCTCTTCCCCAACGATGACCCAGAAGCAGTTAGTTCTCCAAGAACATCAGATTCCCTCAGTAGATCAAAAAATACCCCCATGGAATTCTTTAGGATAGACAGTAAGGATAGTGCAAGTGAACTCCTGGGACTTGACTTTGGAGAAAAATTGTATAGTCTAAAATCAGAACCTTTGAAACCATTCTTTACTCTTCCAAATGGAGACAGTGCATCTAGGAGTTTTAATACTAGTGAAAGCAAGGTAGAGTTTAAAGCTCAGGACACCATTAGCAGGGGCTCAGATGACTCAGTGCCAGTTATTTCATTTAAAGATGCTGCTTTTGATGATGTTAGTGGTACTGATGAAGGAAGACCTGATCTTCTTGTAAATTTACCTGGTGAATTGGAGCCAACAAGAGAAGCTGCAGCAATGGGACCTACTAAGTTTACACAAACTAATACAGGGATAATAGAAAGTAAACTCTTGGAAACCCCTGATGTTTTATGCCTCAGGCTTAGTACTGAACAATGCCAAACACAGGAGGAGAAAGGCACGGAGGAACTGAGTGATCCCTCTGGGCCCAAATCCCACAGTATAACAGAGAAACACTATGCACAGGAGGATCCCAGGATGTTATTTGTAGCAGCCGTTGATCGTAGCAGTTCAGGAGATGTGTCTTTGTTACCCAGCTCAGATCCCAAGTTTCAAGGACTTGGAGTGGTGGAGTCAGTAGTAACTGCAAACAACACAGAAGAAAGCTTATTCCATATTTGCAGTCCACTCTTAGGTGCTAATGAATATATTGGAAGCACAGACACTTTAAAAACAGAGGAAGTATTGCTGTTTACAGATCAAACTGATGATTTGGCTAAAGAGGAACCAACTTCTTTATTCCAGAGAGGCTCTGAGACTAAGGGAGAAAGTGGTTTAGCGCTTGAAGGAGACAAGGAAATACATCAGATTTTTGAGGACCTTGATAAAAAATTAGCACTAACCTCCAGGTTTTACATCCCAGAGGGCTGCATTCAAAGATGGGCAGCTGAAATGGTGGTAGCCCTTGATGCTTTACATAGAGAGGGAATTGTGTGCCGCGATTTGAACCCAAACAACATCTTATTGAATGATAGAGGTCAGGAACTTTTGCAAATGCATTTCTTTTTATTCGCTGTTGCTTCCAATTAACTGAGTAGGCGTTTTATCTTGTAATTAGTATCTTCATTTCCTGTCTAGAGCTTCATTATCAGTGCAGCAAATTCACCCCCAGTAATAGCTTCTAGTACTTAATGATGCCATTATTCTTAATGATACTGTTTTTAGCTACAAAAGGAGTAATTACAGTTCACTTCTGCAGAAAATGGAAGAGAAAAATGTTTTGATTTCTCCTGTCGTTTTGTTTTTAGGACACATTCAGCTAACGTATTTTAGCAGGTGGAGTGAGGTTGAAGATTCCTGTGACAGCGATGCCATAGAGAGAATGTACTGTGCCCCAGGTTAGAGCAATCTCCTAAAATGTTTCCTTTGAAAAAGTGGTTCGGCAGCTCTCATTTCTTTATATAAGTTGTATTTTTCACTAGCAGTTTACGTATGTGTTGGATTTGGTTATCTGTTTAACCCTTCAAAAAACAAATTTTGGGCTAAGCCCATTCATAGGTATATATGTGTATATATGTATGTGTGTTTACATATTTATTGTTGTTGAATGAGTTTGTATCTCACTAAGAACTGCAGTGAATTCTTAGAAATGTCTTAACATCTTAGTGTTTACAAGGACCTGTAAATATCCTGACTCTTTTTAGATGCATGATTTTTTTCTTTTTGTTTTTGAGACAGGTCTCACTCTGTCACATGGGCTGGAGTGCAGTGCTGCTGTTATGGCTTACTACAGCCTCCAATTCCTAGGCTCAAGCAGTCCTCCCACCTCAGTTTCCAAGTAGCTGGGACTACAGGTGGACACCACCATGCCTGGTTAATTTTTTTTTAAAGCGTTTTTTTTTTTTTTTTTGTAGAGATGAGGTCTTTCTGTGTTACCCAGGCTGGTCTAGAACTGCTAGGCTCAAGCAATTCTCCCATCTCAGCCTCATAAGTTGCTGGGATTACAGGTGCATGCCACTACTCCTGGCTAATTAATTTTTTTTTTTTTTGTAGATACGGGGCCTTGTGTGTTGCTCAGACTGATCCTGAATTCCTGGCCTCAAGCAAGCCTCCACCCCAGCCCCTGGAATAGCTGGGATTACAGGCGGAAGCCACAGTGCCTGGGAAAATGGAGATTTTTTAAAATGCAGTATGATTTTAGTGATGTGCCGACCTAGCATTTTAGAACAAATGTTTTTAGATACAACAGTTTTAACTTACCCTATTACATTGTTTTTATTTTTTAAAAATTAGAGATTTATTTTGTGAGTATTAGATCTTTTACTGACGATAGGTAGCATAAACATGTGAATTGCATTTGAGCTGGTTTTTCTCACTCATCAGTGCAGATGGGGCTGTTAAGTTTGTTCACCTTTTGCTTACCATTTAGCCTCTTTGGATGGCTAGAGTTACTTCACCTACCACCCCACTGGCCTTCAAAGGAGTTTGAAGCTGATTTTGTGGGCATAATCTGCTTAGTTGTTGATCAATATAGTATTTAATACTTACCAGCTTAACCAGTGTATTGATACTAACCTTGTTTCTCTGCATAATGTGAAGTAATGATCATAAGGATTAAAAGAGCTATATTGTTTCTAGTTACAACCTTCATTGTTAAGAATTATTTTCTTAGTAGAGAATAGCAGTTTTCCAACCTATAAAATAAATATCCTGAAACGTTCTTGAAAGCAACTATTAGAGTTTTCTTTTCTTTCCTCCTCCTTCCTTCAAATTAAGACTGTTTTTTGTTTCTTCTTAGAGACAATAGAGCACACCTACATTTTTTCTGTCAAGTAGATTATGTGATGCTATGTTTTGAAATAATATTAGTTAATAGGATAAAATATTTCATGTTGAATTCACTTTATTATAGTTACTTGATTGAAACAACAAATCCTCCCCACTTTCTAATTTGATAACAAATAACATTTTAGGTTCCAAGGTACTTAGAAATATAGTTGTTAATTATGATGAATTTGAAAGTTTTAGGATCAAATTTAATTTGGGAGGGTTTTGTTTTGTTTTGTTTTGTTTTGTTTTGTTTTGTTTTGAGTCAAGCTTGTTACATCCTCAAGTAAAGTAGGAACCATGTAACAAAACCAAACATTTATGGAATATTGTTTAATATTTGTAACTAGCTCCTTATTTCTTACTTTTGTTGTTACTTTCTATTTTGTCTTGGTTCCTAATAAGTATGCATATTGTTACTTACTGGAAACTCTCTAAGCTTGTACTTTGGCATTCTGGCAGATTATTTTTCTTTATTTTCAAGCAGTCACATTTACTTTAATATCCATAGCATGTTGGTATTCTGAGAGTTGTAATATATGTGGAACAGAACCATATTACATTCATCAGCAGACATATACTTTCAATTTCGTGTACCGAAATCCTGAATTTAATGCAGATCAGTGTCCAAGTTCTAATTTTTAAGCCTTGTCCCAGAAATTACAATTCTCTTAGTTTACCAGCAGGTGGCAGTCTACCATTAATGGATTTTTGCTGTCCTCTTCCAGGTTGTCCTTCACTAGCATTTGAGAAAAGCTGTAGTCTGAAGAGGGGCTTTGTTGTCATTATTTACATAAAAGAACTGTACTTTCAAGCTTTGTGAGTTTTGAAAGTGTTCTAGTGTTATGGCATGCTTTGAACAATGTGGAAAGGCTTTCCATTCCTTGGGCCTGTTAATTTTACCAACCAGGTAAAACAAAACCAGTAATGGCCTCAACAAAAAAGTAATACCGATGTTCAAATTAAGATGACCTTAAATCTAGAGAGTTATAGAACTTTGTTAAATCTATGTGCTCTCACCCCTCATTTATAACTTAAGGGGAATTGGAGCAAAAATTTGTGAGTTACTGTTTGCCCCAAAAGTTCATAGCAGTGCTACAGATAAATCAAAGCTACAAATAGGTTTTCCTCTCCTCAAAGGGTGAAAGCAATGATAATATGTTAATATTTCAATGCTTAAAAATAGAAATCAGTAACTGCATGGGACATAGAGTGTTTAGCCATCTTCAGATTTACCCCTAGGAACACTAAAGGATTGAAGTAATTCCTTCTCACATGATCCCCTCCCTCTTACTTCCCAAGTCTAAGCAGCTGATGTTTGGTTAGAAAGTATAGTTGTCACAAGATTATGATGAGAGCGACTCACTTCTGTTTAAACAGTATGCACCCTCTACCCCTGCCACTTCACCTCCTGGGAATCCTTATCACATATTTGTCCTGAAAACATTATCCACCTGCCCTGTACTTTATAATAGCAGCAGTGTATCCTTTTATCTTGTGGATGATGTGCCTTTATATTTTGAGAAAAATTTCCAGTAACAGATTTGATTTGCATGGACAGAAACTTGAGCAAATGCCAAACTAGCAGGGGGGCCATTATTCTGCTCTATAAATAAGTTTAAAAAAGAAAAAACACACACAGAAACCTGTGAATCAACATGTTTTGGTTTAATTGAGGGGAAAAGCAAGATAGATAAATTTTGAAATGCAAATGATCACCTTCTGTTATTTAAGTATAGTTTCTGCCAACTTTGTGATCTTAGATTTTAAAAAGTCGTAATTATTTCAACAATGTAAACTGTTGTCCAAGGATGTCCAAGATTTGCAAGTTTCTATAACAAAATGGAGAACTTTTTAAAAAGTTGCCACTTTTTTTATATTAAAGAAAACAAATCCAACAACAAAAAGACAAAAACCATGGAGCTTTCTCTGTCTACATCTGTGAAAAAGCCAGCGCATAAATGACTGCAGCTGCAGACCCATCAAGAGGGTCTTGAGAATACGAATTCACTGATCAAACCCAGCCCTGTTTTCAAAGTAGAAGCCATTCCTTTTAGGTTCACTTTGTATCCTTAGATTATCTAGGATGATTCTCTAGAAAGGTTTTATTTTAAATAAACATCATTCATGGTACATGGGTTCCTTTCATACCACAGAAACATAGAATGGAGTTCAGGAAGAGAAAAAGCAAAAGAAATAGTCCACAAAGTAGGAACAGATTGTATAGCATGACAATATAAATATAACATTGTCTAGTTTCCACATTAGGAGACTTTTAGATACTTTCTTTTATGCAGGTTCTTCTATTTTTGTTGTTGTTGTTGTTGTTGTTATTGTTGTGAGAGATTAGAGAATAAAAACTGGAGTAAATTGGTTATTTTTCTCCAGATGACTTTCTTGTGGTTACTCTGATTTTATATTGTTTTACACATATGCACAAAAGTTTTAGCCAAAGGATTTTATGTACTTTATCATTTAATCTATTAATATATGAAAATAAAGAATAAACTTTTGTTTATAGTGTTTTAAGTATAAAGGATAAATAAAATTTCAAGAAAGTATTTTTTCTTACCACTTTTTTCCTTTGATTTTATTATTCAAAAACAGCTAGAAAATAGAACATGTACTTACACTAAGCATGTAAAATACAAACAACAACAACAAAAACACCTGAGTCTGAGGTGAGAGGATTGCTTGAGGCTAGTTTGAAACTGCAGTGTAAATGATCATGCCTGTGAATAGCTACTGCACTCCAACCTGGGCAACATAGCAAGACCTTGTCTCTTAAAATACAAGAAAACGATACTTGAAAGTTTAATATATGATCTGAGACAAGTGCGTAAAATTATTTGTGTTAGTTAACCTAATCTAATCATTTAAGTTTCTCATTCTAGTCTTAAGTTGTTATGGTATCCTATCGATGTGAGTTCTTCACTTTTATTCTCTGCCCCATTATGAGTCTTTAATTTTAAATGCTTGATATTTACATTGATATTTGTCATTGAATACTTTTCAGACTTGAAAATGTCTGAAAAGTGAATATGTGTGTAAATTGAAGAAGTCCAAAATGGCTTTTCACTGCTGCCCAGTCTCCACGCTCCCAGATGTCAAATGACAGCTTTGCTTCCTCTCTTCGTCGATTTCACACTTGGAAACAGCTCACAGCTGACAGTGAAAAGTGAAACAGAAAAATCATGCTGAAAACGATCTGTAAAAATTCAGTTTTAGAGCATGCCATTTATTGACTACCTTTCTTTACTCTTCTTGCCTGACTTTATCAAATAATCCATGAATATGTTTTGGGGAGTAGTTTCTCCTGCCTTTCTTCATAAACATGCTTCCCATGGCGTTTGTTTCTTTTTAGGCGTGGAGCTCTGTGTAATAGTTGTGTATCTGATCATTAAAACTAGGACGCAGACTGTGGATGGTTTAAAATATCTTGAGGCTATCAGAAGTTTTTAAGATTTAGAACATTTAGATGGAATTGAGAACTACCAAACCTGCATATTTGTCCCAGATCGGGGGACAATCATTGCTAGACCTCGGGAAATTTATTTAAGACTTTCTAGGC